AAAAAAAAAAAAAAAAAAGAAAGAAAGAAGAAAGGGAAGGCAACGACGAAGCGAGCGTGGGCGACGATTCAACAGGAGGATTCACTCGTCCGTCGACACACGTGTCGCTCAGACTTTCTATTCTTCGGACATTTACCTGCGATCCGTCGTTGCGTCCGCGACGTGACGTGTATCGGTGCTCGATAAACGACGCAGAGTTCCATCCAATGTGGAACCGGCGATTTCAGCCGGTTTCTCGTCCGACGAAACGAATTCTAATAAATAAAGCCGCGATGATGAACGGTGGCTCCGTACGATCTACACACGTTGCCGGTCGGCCCGACACTGATCGTACATTTACTACTTGCTGCGTGGCTTCGCAGCCGGAGCGGAACTCCCAGTGGGGGTAGCAGCGGCAGGAAATGGAACAAGGGGGGAAAACTGGCGAGCCAAGGGCTATCAGGGAAAATACATGCGACGAAGAGAAAATCCAAACGAGAGAAAGAGAGCACGATGTCCAACCCTCTGTGGTACGTGCGACTGCTAAGTCGGCGGCCAACTGCATTTTTACAGACGTTTATTCGGCTTTTATAAAACTACGAAATTTATCGTGTCTCTCTCTTTTTCTCTATTTCTCTTAAGTTTCGGTACTTTGCAAAAATTGAACTCTTACAGAAGCTTTGTCACTGTCGATAAAATTGCAACAGTTCTTTATTTCACACGATTCTACACGAGACATTATCACGGTTATTAATAGTGCTTAGAAAGTGTATTGATTTTGAACGTTTAACTATTCTGTGCAAAGACATGGCTCTACTCCGTGAATGTTTGCTTCTTCACGGGACACATCTTCTTTTTTTTTTCCTTTAAATCGCTTTCAGCGATCGTTAGCGTTTGTCGTTGAATTTGTTAGGATCGTGCAGTTTCGCAGCGCTCAAACGCGGTCAAACATGCTGAAAATAGTTGGCATTTCGAGACGCAGTTTGAAATACAGGATCATTAAGTTGCTCCTAATATTAGATTGTTTAAATATTGCTAAGCAAAGATCCGTGCTCAACAAGTGTTCGGCGTGAGTTAACGAGGACGGACAGTTCGAAACGAGCACCTGTGGCACAAAGTCTTGGTGCGAAGAAAAATTTCGGCATCCTCTACCAAATGGAAACTTGTTCCTAGTTGCGTGAACTTCGAACAGATTCGACGCGGTGCACGCGGTGCGTTATAACTTCGCCCAAAAATGCTAAAAAAGATACTAACAATCCGCAGCTAGTGATCCAAATAAGATTCCACACGAGCGACGATTTGTACAGGCTGTTAATCTCCATCATGCTGGCCTTTTTCGGCCGAATTTTGCCGATGTAATCGTTGGACCATTTCCTGCGGATACCTGTTTGCCTCAAGCGCGTTATGATGTCCACAAATCGATCCTTGTACGGTGAATGCTTTCTCAGGAAGTACGCGACCGGCAGTCTCACGTAACACAAGTTTTTACAAATTTTCGCGGTAACGTTACCAAGCCGCGCCTCCATGTAAATAATCATGTTCGTGCCGGTCGTGTCTTGGAAGCAAGTGACGTTCTGATGTTGCTTTAAATAATTTATGCAAGATTGCTCGAGAGTATCGCCTGTGATCGTCTTTCTCTTCAACCGGAGAAAGGATTCGTCGTCGTTAACGAACGTCACGTTGAGAAGATCAGGCACGACAACGGGAATCAACCCGGACTTGTCCAGCTCTTCGTACGTTTTGTAATCCATTTCGGTTTTCTCTGTCATGCTCACGGTGGTGAGGTCGACGAACAAATTTGTCGAGTAGATGGACGAAGCGATTAGTATCGCGAAGAATATAACCCTCTCTTTCGTTCCTCTCGGCTTCGACGGCATGGCGACCGCTATCAACATACCGAAGATCTTCAACGGCTGCCACAAGTCTGAGTTAAACTTCAGCACGACCGATATCCCCCAGAACACGAGAACGATGCAGCAGTTTATGGCTAAACCGACGAGGGCTTGCCCCTCGGACTTGTTGTATTTGTATTTAAGCGGTATCACCGGGCACCAATTTTCGAAATCAAGGGGCAAAGTATACTCGATCAGTCTGGAGAAATTGTCCGCATAGATTGATAACGACGGGATTATTATGTCGCATTTTCCATCGGCTGTAGCCTGGACCGGTCTTTTGTCAGGTACTTTCACGATGGTGAAATTCATAACCCGAGCAAGCGTTTTCATAGTTTTCACGTCCGGGCTTTCGTATTTCAGTAAATTTCTTATGAACCATATGTAGTCTGTACGATTCAGCATACCTACTCTCATCGGATAACCGTGAAGATTCTGCACTTTATTCGGGAACCACTCTACGCCGGAAGCGTAAGGCCGTTGATCGTAGACGCGCGTGAACGGATTATACCGATGAATCATCGTAGTGACTGCCGATCCATTCGGTTCCGACAACTCCAAAACCGTCATGTCGATCAGATATCTGTGCCACGTTTGCTCCAGAAACTGCTCGAAGTTGCAATTTTGTTCCTCCAGCATGGTCATCAACAAAACCTTTGGTCGATTGTTCCCCATAATCTCGGCGGTAATGTTCCCCGTTTGTTCGAAATCTGGCAAAGTTCTTGCGATATAAACGTACAGGATTAACGTTGTTCGTGACGCGTGAAAGAAAGACAACTCCGGAGGAATCGAGCCGTTGAACGAGATGCAACTGGTTGGTAAAACTCGCGACACGGTTTTGTAAATCTCGTCCACTGCTCCGTGATCCGACCGCCCGTAAGGATTCTGCACGACGAACTGCACGTCCGTGAATTTGTTTCTTCGAAGAAGATCGTTGACAGGTTGTACGACGTTGGTGGACAAGTAGCGCAAATAATTTACGTGCTGAAGCGCCAGCAGGTATATCGGTAGTTTTTTCATGGTAATTTTCGTGACGTCCCTTGAATTGAAACGAAGAAACTTCTGAGAAAGATTGGCTTTGTTTTCAGGCTTTGTTTGGAAACGTCACGCGTATATACTTACACTCAGCAATATTTGCAAACTTATCTATTTGCAATTCTGCGATACCTGAGGATCGGGTGCGAACGATGCGACAAACGTCGAGAAAGAGCGACGATCGACTGAACGCGACTTTCTACCCTCGACGTTCCTCACGCGATAATTTCATTTGTCTTAAGTGCAACGATAGTGCATATAAACGATCAGTTGATATGAAACAACAGATATCAAGCGCTTTTACATTGCTGTGTCATTGGAAACGTCTCATTACCGAGCTGATCAATTCGCGGTAGAAAGCACCTTGCTTCCAATCTTTCTATCAGCTATTTTACGCAACATCTAATTAAATGTAATTTCAGCGCAATTTATGCATTGCATAATCGACGATATTAATGGGAATGCGAATTATCGGGAATCTAACGAGATACAAAAAAAAAAAAAAAATATAAAATTTCGTGCATGAATATTTAAAAGACGATTATGGAAGCGCAATTACTGGCGACGTCGTTAATCATTTCTTCTCTCGTAGATCTAAATAGCGCGAGGCTTCGATTTCTATCAACGTTCTTTTATAAAATGGCTCGCACCTTTTTTCTCACAGGTTTAGACATTTTTCTCTCTTATTAAAATATTGAAGCTTCGAACTAGTTGTGGTGTAAAGAGACGAAGAAGCGATTTACTGCCGATTAGTTGAGAATTATTTTAATAGGATAGGAAGGATTCTTTCATTAATGGATTTCACCAGATAGTACGCGGGCGGCGTGTTCAATTAACCCTGACAGTATCTTCTATTTATTGCACGGCTGATGCAAATTTTATTTTATCGTAGCCTAGAAACGTAATAAATCATCCTTGACGATCCATTATCGCAATTATGATAATTTTATTAACAACGATCGTACTCTTTCAAGCCGCTCAATAGCCGCACCGACTAAATTTTGCCGACTGAAACAGATAGTTTCAGCCGCCTGTCACGATACAGTTCATACCACGAGACTTCGTTCTACTCTAATCGTGGAAAATGGATCGAAGGCTATGAGGCACGGGAGTTTGGAAGAAACAGCGAGAAGAGGCTAAATTAAGGTATAATCGTTCGTAACTTCTGTCAATTGTTTCCTTGACATCATCTTCCTTTGTCATAGGTGACAATAGAACTATTAATAATTAAAGTTGCCGTCAGGCTCGATGCTTGCACGATTACCAGCAGTGTGAGACGAGACAAAAATAAATGCCGAGTATTTATCATATATATGTATGTGTGTATATATATTTATATATATATTAGCAATTTATTTGGTCGTAGATTTGTTTAGAGGATAATTCGAATTACGAGTAAGATAAAACGTACGAGAGGAGGGCTTTTTGGTATATTTCGAATGTTTCGCCGTTTTATTATTAAGCGTATGAGAATCACGTTGCTCTTGCCTCTGTCGCAAAATTTGAACGGGAGAGAATTCGAAGCAACAATGCGAGAGTAATTGTGCATTACGCTTTATATACTTTTGCGCGGTCGTCGGACGGAAATACTATCAGGAAATATAAATAATATTCATTTACATATTCGTGACGTATAAACAAATGAGGATGACGATTAACAGTAGATGCGTAGATAAATTACGTGTAGCTGGCAGAGTAGGAATAAAAGACGTTAAATAGTATAAACGACTTTTTGGCGATTTTGAAAGCACAGCGGAATGTTTGCGAACGTTTGCAACGATGGTTCAATTTGTTTTTGTTGGAATTAGAATTTGGTCTTACGTTGAATAGCCAGTAGTAGTTAGTTTTATACGCGTGTTTATGCACGTCCAACGTATTATGCGTACATCTTTCCTATAATTAACGGACATCGACAACGCGCGTATTATTCGCTACGTCCTTTTTACTTTCTTACGAAGACTAGAGTGAAGCACGGGAGAAGGACGAGGACGAGATTGGCAGCGAGAGTGGCAACGCCGTTTCCGTTCCAGCAAACGTTGAGGTCGCACTGCTTGAGAACCGGGTTGAACCTGTGCTTCAAATACTCCCAGTCGCAGAGGCCCACGTCACATCCGTCGAGCATGACCAGCTTCTCGGCCAAGTAAAACATCACTTTGTTCGGTTGGCCGCTAACGTCGCATCTGCGAAACAACACGGGAAAACGCTTTGCTCGACTAGCGAAAGTAAGTTCCTCTCCAGGTTGGATCCGAGAGAAAGAAAAATTTAGATCTAATTTGATTGCAAGATGTCGTTACCTGTAGAACACAGCGACGAGATTCGCGGCGAAAGGCGATATGAATGACGTCCGCCATTTACGTTTCGCCATGTCTTTGTAATTAAAGGCCGTCAGCTGCTCATGATCTTTGTTAATGTTCAACGTGGTCAGGAGGTTCTGCAGACTTATAATGTCGCCAAAGTAGAATACACCGTTCGGCTCGTTCGAGTCCCCGTTTTGTTCCAGTTTCCTGAAATATCGACACACGAGTCGTTCGATTGTATTGCATCGACGTACAACGAGCATTGTCTCGAGCAGGATAGAAATTTCGCGAGCGAGAACAAAATTACCAAAAGTGATTCATCATGTCTTGCAAAAGCGTGCATCCTAGCTGCGCATTGATTTCACGTCCATATCCGGCCTTGTAATAATAGTGGAGATCCTCGCGATACTCCAGCACACGAAGCTCCTCCTTGCTGAAAACGGCGCACCAAGGAGAAAGTTTCGTCACCGTCCAGGCCTTTTCGTAACGACACATATCGTACATCGCCAGGATTGGCTCTGGAAAACAAAACGATCGTTAAAACAACGCGCAGCGAGCCTTCTCGTTTCGTAAACTCTGCGCTTGCCTTTGGAAATGTCGTACAAAAATCCGAGTCGGCGGCTGACGTTCTGTATCAAATTTTTGAACTGCGGCCCTTCTTCGAACATGATTACTTCCTCGACGGAGACGTTGCCACTATCGCTATCCCATACGTTACAGGTTTTATATACCTGATTGAAAAGAAGGTAATTTTCTTTTTTTTTTAAAGATTTACTGGAAAATAGCACAGATACATTTTTCTTGAGGAGAAAGAAAGATAGAAGGGGAAGAGGAGATAATGCGAGCCTAGAAAGAAGAGAGCAACAAAATAAACATGAAATAAAATGAAAGAGTTAAGTTAAGATACTTAAGTAGAGAATGGCACACTTAAGATAAATATAGGTACAGGGTAAAGAGAAATGGGATACAAATGTGTTACATGCAGAAATTTATTTTTGATAAATGCAATGTGAAAATGTGCAATGTTTAGAGGAACCAATAACGTAAAAACTCAAAGTCAATGTCAGGGTCAAAGAGGCTGAAATTTTTTTTTTTTTTTAACTAGCATAGTAGTGAAAATATTGTCACTTCTATTTTCTTATACTCACCGATAGCAAGGTATCGTTACTAGGAACTTCGTCTACAGGTACCGCCTCTCTGTTGCCGAACAATCCCTCTATGAACGAGCCAATGCTGCCTTCGCGCGCATCGGTTGTTTTAAACTGTAATGAATTCGTCTCGACTTACATGCAACGAAATCGGCCCACCGATTGTTTTACTCGATCGTAGCTTATACATACCGTGTAATTTTCCGCCGTTATGTGCTCGCTGTTCGAGTGAAGAAGCTGCGGGAAATTGCTTTGCAATCGTCTGGCGAGCAACCTCATATCTTCCACACCTTGCGGTGTCAAAACTTCCGCCCTCTGGATTGCGAGGTACTCGTCCGGCTTCCACCTTTTCAAATTTTCTAAATCCCTGTTGCACATGTGGCCGTCTGTGGAAATGGGAAATCATCGAAGGACGATGCATCGTCGCGGAGAGATCGATTCGCTGACGTAGAAAGTGAATTCGAGTACTCGAATGGATTAACGGGGGCTCGAGGTTGGACGAAGTGTGTTCCAGTTCGGAGGGGCGAATTTATGCGTGAACTCGATAAATCTAGGGTTGAAACTGGTGTTGGGAACCGTGGCTATTGATCAACATGCGAAAGTCGTCGCGTGGCGAAGATCGATACGAAAAAGTGTCAATGACCTGAATTAACGTCCTAACTGGTTCACTTGCGTTACGCTTTAACGGGAACACCGTTTTTCTCGGAATTTCTCCAACGAATAACCAGTCACCGCACGAAAAGTCTTAAAAGTATTGATATTTTTTTCTTTAAGCTAGACGGTAGACGATTAACTTTCATGCCAACGTCAGTTCGTTCGGTTTTGTTGCTCCAAAAACAAAAAGAAAAAAAAAAAAAGAAAAAAAAAAAAGAAGTAAAATAGAAAAATTTTAGATCGATTCACTTGCAATCGTAACAGTAATATAATAATATTGGTTCGATATGAAAAAAAAAAGGTAGTAGACGAAGAGAATATTTTACTTGGGCTGATCTGCATCCGACGCACAAAGCTGTCTCACAGCATGAAAACTCTTTCGTATTGAGTGAATATTTGGTAGATTCATGAATTGTATATCGCAACTGGGATAATATTCGGGACATTCGCATCCACCACCACGCGCTCTATTCGCTACCGCAGTTGTATACGATCTAGCGTCCACAATTAAAACTTTCTGGAAAGAACATGTATTGATTTGCTGAAGATCATCAGCTTCAAGCTTTGAATCATCAATTCAAATTTATATAATTAGAATTTTCTTTAATTTGATGCCTACTTTTGTTTTATTCGACGTAACACCGTCATCGCCATTATCTGGGTAGATGATAGATGAATCCATCATTGTCGATTCACCTTTATCATAGGAACATGCATCGGAGAGGGCTTTCAAAAGATGTTCGTCATCCGGACTCCGCCAACCAAGCCATCCAACTTCCGGCTGACTGCTTCGTGCTATTACTGCGCCATTGTTCACGTGCCTTTAAAATTATAAAAGACAAAACTGTGATATAGGATAACAAAATGCACACTACTATCTTTTTTCCCTTCTTAATTCTTTGTCTTTTTTGAATACCTCCAAACAACGGCAGGGATCCGTCGAAAACTTCTAAACTTTGCTACAACCTCGAGACTATCGTCAGGAATGCAAGAAGGAACCAGAAGCAATGGTGGATAGGATGGACAGATGCGGTAATCTTTATTGATTTGACTTATGCGCCATGTGCCATGCAAATTAAATTTCAGTCGTTCTACCTAAGAAACAGGTAAAAGAATTAAATTATACGTAAATTGCGTGTATCGTGCTTATATCTGTAAAATTTGAATAGTACTTACTTCTGAATTAAAGGTAGTATTATACGACATGCTATCTTTTCCCAATTTGGAATTATCTTTACCTTCCTCAACAGACCAAGCATAATACGCAAAAGCAAATATATCCTCTATACTCTTTCGTGGATAAGTCACCTTGTGTAATCGTTTAAACCACTCCAAACAATGTTCGTTCGTGGCAAAGACACAACTGAAAATGTCAATTATTTTTAATATCAAAATGATGAGAGAATGCAGGTTAGTTTTGAACGCAATTTCATACCTTAGGGAACGAGCATCCTTGCAACCAATATGCAGGAAAAAGATCTCTTTAACTTCTAACTGTTCTATTAAACCCAATGGGATATTGTAACATGCTTGATTTAATTGTAAATAGAGTCTGTAATTAGAAAGAGCCAACACTCCATCCGACGTACGTCCAAGCGCTACAATGAACTCCCCACTCAAGAGTGTAAATGGAACAGTAAGCGTTTGATCTTCGCATTCGAAGTGTGTATGCTTTGGAAATAATTCCGAAGCATGTAAATGACAGATGGATTGCAAACTTGTTGGCTCTTCAGAATTCTCCATCTCCTCTCTATGCGACACATTATATAAATACAAACTTGAGTCTTCTTTTCGAACATGAAAAATTTTAATCGTGGGCTACATCCTTTTAATATACTTCATATGCATAATGTGAAATTGGATTATTCCAATTTGTATACAGCTACCATGTACCGATTCTAGTTATTTACTAACATAATGTATTAAAATAATATATTAAAATACGCGTTATTGCAAATATCCATTATTGAAAACTAACTAAACAATGGTGGCAGAATATATATTACGTCGATTGATAAATGCACGATTTATCGTTTACAAATAAACAAGGAATTAAACCATTTCGTAATTCGATATGAAACCTAATACATAAATAAACGAAATACTGACGTAACATAAGCGAAAGGCTTTTACATTTATTATCGCTTATCGATTTAGGCCATTTTGGGCACAAATGCAAAAATATCTTGATAAAAAAAAAAAAAAGCAAATGTATACAAATCGCAAAAACAGTATTCTATCGTTTATCCAGATACCAAGAAATTTGTACGATACGATAGAAATGAAAGATGTATCGAGCGGATAGAATGTTTTAAATCGGCACACGTAGATATGTTCGTCAATTGTCGAAGAATGATAACGCTGCAACCGATTTAGTTGCACACGATTGCTAAGTCACATGCACATGTAAATTTGTACGTAAGAACAGGCCAGAGGGACGTTAGAAAAGACGTTAAAAAGCAAGAGAAATAATTTTAACTGAAACGGTCGAACACACTTTACTTTGTTTTTTCTAGCGAATCGTAATGAACGAAAGATGGCAAGTTCACAACAACGATGTCTCACCTTGGATTGCGAAGTTTCTCCGCGATGGATGATATCCAACCGTTTTGATACTTCATACAATATCCATGAACAGTCGTTTACACAAGAAGTACAATGTGGACATTACTCAATTAAGACGGGACGAGAAAAAAAAAAAAAGAGAGAGAGAGAGAGAGAGAGAGAGGTAGAAAAAAAGGAAAGAAAGAGACAGAGAGCATTTCCCCGTATCGAAAAAGATACAATAATTCCGAAATATTAAACGTGGAAGTATCTAGTAGTAATTTAGATTTGTTCTTAACAGATACGTAGATAGCTTACGCTTACGGGATAAACGATTCCACTAGACTTATGTGAGCTCGATCCAAACGCAATCAGTTTTCGTTACGGCAATTCGGAGGAATGGCCAGCATCACAAGGAGCGATCTCCATTAATTGAATTGCTTGCTTTTCTTCCTTCTTTTCCCCTTTCTTCTTCTTTTATTTTCTTCCTGCTTCTTGTCTCTCCTCTTTTTCTTTTTTAATTAAATAGCAATACCACGAAAGAGTCGATACGATTCCTCTTCTTGAAAGATACTCGTTTCACTCGATGTGAAAGTTACATTGACAGATTAGTCCATATACAAATCAAGCCGTTTTTCCACTATCCGATGCTGTTCTTAGCGTTCATTCTCAACGAAACTGTCTTTTTCCAAATCTATCGTATCATTGGTCGGAACGATGCGAGAAAGTTACGTGAAATGTTAATGTAAACAGCATTCAAACAATCAGTACATATAATAAAATTTTATTATGTAAATACAAATTAATAAATCTCAATTTCAATCTCGTAGAAGTACAAATAGTAACGTCGTACAAATTTCTCGATAATCGTTCGCCATTTTTCTCATATAACGTAACACTCTAGTTCTATGATCATTCGTGGATATCCATAAACCTGACGAACAAAATGGAAGTTCACGCATGCGTTACTTCGTTCTCACATCGCTTTAATTAAATTAAGTTCGGCAGTTTTCTCTTTTTCTCCTTTCTCGCGTTATTGTAAATTAAATATATTTACATGTTCACAACATTTTTCAAATAAAAGCAGAACGATTAAAATAAAAATGATATAACAGCGATGTACTGCTTCATAACCAAATCAAAGAGCATATACACGAAAATATAACAAAATAAGATAGACAATAACAAAAACGCGATGATATTTATGTTAAACACTTACAGATAGCAAATTCTGCATACTCTTATTATTAAGATATTGTTTTTCAGTGAGAATATAAAAAATTTCAATTTATGCGCATAATGCGATGTTTCGCGTATGCGAACTTGGGTGCTGAAAAATGACGCATCACTATGCAAAATGGTAACGAACTATCGAGAGTCAGTTTCTTTCTCATCATGCTTTCCAGAAGTTTGGATTTTGTTGTAACCTCCTCTCAAAAGTTTCGTACCATCCTTGGATAGCGGACAGTGGTACAAAGTTTTCTGTTGGGTTTGGTGTCATTTGCGACTGAGTTACAGAAAAACTCGAAACGTAATTCAAAAAGCTAGTAAGCATCTTCTGAACAAATTCTAGAAAAGTGTTCGACGTAGCTTCTGTAACTGTGGCTGCTTGTTGTTCTATAGCTCCAATAGGCTCCACTGAAACTCCTATCTGCGCTACGTGAGAAATCTTCCCCACTCCAAAAATTCCTAAATTACTGTTTTCGAATTCGTGATTCTTCTTCAAAGTGGATATCTTGAATATGGCAGATGGCTTGGCATTTGAGATATACCCAAGAAATTGCCAATTAGGTGGAGCAGTTGGATCCGGCCAACTAAAGTACACTGTAACAGCAGAGTTTGGGTAAGAACGCATCGTCACATTTATTCAATTGTTACATTATAATGAGTACCTGCGCCACCTGTCCCATCAGGAAATGGTATAGTACCAGTGAGAAATACCACAATATGGTTTATATTATCCGCATCAGGTACTGTTATTAAAAACTGGTTCTCCCCTATCTGCTGAAAATCCGTTTGCACCTAAAAAAAAAAAATGTTACGTTTATAATTACATATACCTTACGTTCATATACTTTTGAAAATTCGAATTTACTGTTTGAAATTTGACAAAATCTCAATTCGTCGACATTACATTTACATGTTCGATTAGATGTAAAGATGCTCGTGGCAAGTTGACGACAAAGTGAGGTGAGGTGAGGTGAAGTGAGATGGGGGGCATTACTGAAAGGTAACAAAAACAAGATACGAAACAAAACGACACAATGTTTAAAGCATTAGAAACTGGGAAGAAGCAAAGAAACAGGAAATAATGTATCCTAGTGTAGGAATACACTGATACACTTACGACAAAGAACACGATTATGTTTAATTGACAATTTAATATCGAAAATGAAATACAATGTCGGTAGTTGTACAGCGAATATAACTGATACTTGGATACTTACAAGCCGACCAGATACAATTATACCAAGCATTTTTAAGTCGAATCTAGATCATTCTACTGGTTTCTACTTATTGTACTATACCAATAAATGTTCGGCGAACGCGACGTTGTCACACCATCCAAATATTCACAACCACAAGAGTGATGTTTATTCACGGTAGATGTAGCTACATAAAGAGAGGAAACTATAATGGCGCTAGTTACTATAAAGCAGTATTTTCATGTGTACACAAAAGACTCGAATAAGTCCGTTTAAAATTTTTACGTTGAAATAAAGCTAAAAAGAAAAAAGAATTAAAATCCAAAATGTTCTTTAATTTCCACAATTCGTTATTTTGTCGAATTGTTTTTTTTTTTTCTTTTTTTATCAGGTTTCTCTGTGCGATAATTAGTGACAAATAAAAGATAAAATACTGATTCAGCTATAGCAATTTACCACTTGCTGTTGAAAATGAATACCTGATGTTGATATATAAATATTATTCAGTAAATAAATATATAAATAAATAAATAAATATGAATGTAATTCAATATCATACACACGAGCGCGCGCGCGCGCGCGCACGCACACACACACACACACACACACACATATTTCGGGTAAAATATAATTTGTTTTTGTATATGTTTTTTACGTTATGTATTTTGTACATATTTTACATATTGTGCACATTAAATGTACAAACTTAAACAGATATGTATTAATTTCAATTGTAATGATAATGATTGAAAATAAGTAAAGGATACTAAACTAAAAAAATTTAAAACAATTTGGGACACTTTACAGAGATTGATAAAGAGATTTGTTTTCTTATAAAAACTATCAATTATGCTCAGTATCAAGGAGAAATAGGTGTTCTAAATGATCTACGAACAACATCGAAAACCGTTAGAAGGAAGATAAAATTCATCGTGTTTACATTAAAGATGTCCTCTTTGCCGGAAAAGAACGAAGACCAAATACACGTATTATGTAATGAAAACGAAATGTTTGTTTACTATTGTTTGCAGCATAAGTCAATGACGTCAGTAATGATTTTTTATGATTCCCTCTTTGTTCGGCAGATGACGGAATCATTGAAAAAAGTATTCCGTTGTTATGTATTTGATCATTATGTAGAAATAAAACGTAAAAAAAAGAAAAGAACTCATGCACAGAGTACAATTAGATTTCTAACGGTTGGAGAAGTAACATTGGAATATCGTGAACTTAAAAGGAAATAAAATAATCTATAAATCGAAAGTCCCTGAGTAGCGATACTGATAGCGATGGTGATGGCGATGGCGATGGTAATGGTAATGGTAATGGTAATGGCAATGGCAATGGCAATGGCAATAGCGATGGCGATGGCGATGGCGATAGCGATGACGATGACGATGACGATGACGATGACGATGACGATGACGACGACGATGACGATGGCGATGGCGATGATGATGGCGATGGTGATGGCAATGGTGATGGCGATGGTGATGGCGATGGTGATGGTGATGGTGATAGTGATAGTGATGGCGATGACGATGACGATGGCGATGGTGAGAGACGAGAGAAAACCTCTGCGAAGTTCGATGTGTGTGACATCACTCTTCATTGTTGGAGGTTTACGTCATTCTCGAGTCTGGTCTTAAGTTGGTGCGCGCAATCTACAGTAGTGTAGCACGCGTACAGACTAGTGGCGGGAAGTGATAGAGAGAGGAAAGAGGCGAACAATAGCCGAATTACAGTCGCGACTGCGCGAAACATGTTAGACGTATCGTTAAACATGTTTTCCGTTAAAACGAAATTATCGTTTATTCGATAGTGAGTCTCCCTTTAAATGAAAACCAATGATAGATTAATCGTACAGGTACATAAGTAGGAAAAGGAGAAAGGATATCGCGTCGATGAGAACGGAGGAGTGAGGGTGAAAGAAAAAGAGAAGAGAAGGTGCGTAAGATGGAAAAGGAGAAGGATACAAAGCGCGACGTTTAACAGTGGTAGCGCTGATCTGTGATTTCATCGACGGTTACTGATTTCGAGGGAACTCGATATGAATTGAGCGTAGTGTGCTTTCGAATCGCAAAGAACTTTTCGCGGGAGAGTAATATCGCGCACGGTGTCATAGATAATATCGGGGGAAAAAAAATATTTACGAGTAATGTAATTTATTTGCAATCCGTCGGAGCAGCCAGTGCCTCTTTGACGACGCGTTCTTACATTTTAAATATAACGGTGTATAAATAAGTATGAGCAATAGCGGGAGTGCACAATCAGATCTCTCGCCGTTCATTTTTCTAAGGAATCTAAATTTCATTGTTGCGTTTCTTCGTTCGTGGTTGAGACTCGTAAACGAATGCACGTGAAATGCAGTCGGAACCGATACTTTTCCCTTTGAAGTTTACCACATATGTTTTTCGTGCGTGGGCATGCAGCACCGAACTATCGTCAAGGTTAGTGTGCCTGACAGGCTCTCCATCGCCTTGCGAACTTACGCTAGTTCTCAATGGGTCGCAGTGAGTAGTTGCAGTAGGTAATTAAATGGATACACTTCCACGTGTATGTCTGTTAGTAGTAATGCTACATCTCGTTTGCTCTGAATATGTACGTTATCTACATAATAACCGTAATTTTGTTTTTATACTTTTGCATTTCTGCTTACAAAACGTAAATTTAAAAGAAATTTCAATGTTTCTTTCTATTTACAGTGTAATTTGTAATCACAAATGATATAGCATTGAGATAGCATGCATTGAACAAAATAAAAAAACAAAAAGAATGATGATGATGGTGATGATAACAATGATAACAGTAATAATAATAATAATAATAATAATAATAATAATAATAATAGTAATAGTAATAATTTTCTTCCCTTCCCAAATAGGAAAATTCAAAATTCTCCTCTGTTGGATGATTAAAGAGTAAACTAATTTTGAATGAGCAAAAATTCCTTGTATAGTCGCACATCAGTTTGAACAATGAAGTCTTGTACATCTTTTCAAGCTTGTGTCAACAGTTCATATCGACAAAATCTATGTAAGTACAATTTTTAGAAAATATATATGATTCATGCGTTTTTAACTGATAAATGAATTTTCAATGAATTTGTGACTTTGTTTCAGGGAAAAGAAAGATACGTAATGTTGTCACTTGCATACTGGGTGCATATATACAAAGAGTGGCAACTTACTAAGAATTATTTGATTATTGGTCCTTTTGCTTATATAATGCTTCAAGAATTTTATATCTTTGTTACTGAATTGGCACATTTGTGCAGTGAAAGGTAATGCAAATATTTATCTTGTTACAACTTATTGTCTTACTTTCTTTGAATAATGCAACAAAGGGTATATGTTACAGGCTTAAAGTATCAAACAGTTGATTATAATTAATCAAAATAAATAGTTTTGCAACGATGCAGCGTAGCATGCTTTTCCTTGTTGCAAAAGGATTTGATATTTGGAAGTATGTTTAGTATTACATTAACTTCATTGGTAATAAGACTATTCTAGCATTACCACACTCCAACTGAGATCAATTTTTATCTGCGTTTTTTACAATCAACTAATTCAACTCGATAAACGTATGAAAATAAATCAAATGTGTATATATATATCGAATCCTCTTGCAGATCAGATAGAGATTGACATTTTTGTAGTTCGAGTGTGATAGTATTGCTTTAAGTTACGAATAATTTGTTTCCTTATATCGTGATTAATTCATGCGTATTTTATTCCAGAACAGCCGCTTCTATGAGTGCCACTCGTTTGTTACACTGTGATGGAAAAGGTACTAACAACAAAAGCTCTTCAAGTTAGTACATATATATAGTTGCATATATTTTAAATATGTGTGATTTTGCGTGTATAAATCCGCATAGCGTGATTGTACCGTTTATTTCTGCAGATAGAATGGCATATGAGGTATTTCTGGGTGGATCTTGCAATCCAACCACATGGAGGTCAGAAATAGCGATACCGACTTTACAGAGACTCGGAATCACTTATTATAATCCTGTATGTAACCCGTATGGTGTTCATTCTTGCTTGGTGTATCTCTAATAATTGTAAATAATGTATTTTAGCAAGTATCGCACTGGGGACCGGAATTGATAGCTCAAGAATACGAAGCGAAGCAAACAGCAAAAGTGTTACTCTTCGTAATCGATAATCAAACACGCAATAGTGCAGGCATCATCGAAGCAGCTCAGTTGGCAGCTACGCGCCGCGAGTCTTTAATTCTTGTTATTTATCCGTATCGTCAAGGTCAAACGATACTTGACGAAACTGTGTCTATTCAGTAAGCGCTTTGTTTTCGCTTTTTCTTATTTTTCGTTGTTACGATTAATCTTATATTCTAATACTTGTTGTCATTAGAGAATATTGCGACCTAATGAATGGATTGCTAGTACTTCAGTATCTGATGGAGAGACAAAGGATACCAATATTCGAAAGTGTATCGGTTGCTCTGAATTGTACATCCAAGGTATATATAGAAATATTAGTGGATAGAACGAGTATAAGAATAAGTAAGGGTTACCTTGCGATATTTTGCAAGGTAAACTGTGTTCCTACCAAAAAAAAAAATCTTCTGTCTTCGTGATAGGTGCTACGCGAGGAAATTCACGTGCAAGATCTACATGCCGATGATGGTATTAGGCCGATTAAAATATCATTCGGTCAAAATGGAATGGATCTGCTGTAAGAATTTTTTTCTGAAACTGTGCATACACAATTTATGTAAATGTGATTGTGTCGGATAGATATTATAATTTATTTTTTTGCAGTATGCTCAGAGAGATTTTCAGGTCTATGGATATGAATGACAATGGAACCGTGAATTTGGAAGAAGTAAGTACATATATACGTACGTAATTTGTCTATTTGTCACATTTATAAAAAAGTTTATAGAAAAACAAACATTACCTGTGAAAAACTAATTAAAACGTATGTTACACGTCTGTCTTCATAGGCTTGGATAGCGTTACAATCGAATGTTAAATGCAACGTATCGTCGATGACGGAGCTTCTCAGTGTCGTGAACAAGTCGGGTAATAACCTCTTTGTATTTTTATGTGAAACGAACAGTGCCGTACACGGCTTGGCTGTATTTTTTATGTTGTCTGTTCTTACTCTGTCTGTGTTTTCAGAAGCGTATAGGACGTTGATAGATGATGGATTTCTAGCAAAGAAGGATCCAACGGAATTACGGATAAACTTTGAACAATTTTGTGCGTTGGCTACGGAATCAGCCTGGAGGGTGAAAAGCAACGGCGTCTCTTGTGAAAGTGAGATACCTTCAGTTTGGAGTATTTTATGTAGGAAGGCATCGAAATTTCTTCGCAGAGCTATTGTGCAACCTTTTAACCGTTTCTTAGGTATTTCTTATTCTCAAAAACTTCCCACGATCTGTAATAGCGTGCATATCGTTAGTACGTATGAACTAGCAAGCAGGTCGTTACGGGACGTGCCTTGATTAATTGTTCACGAAAACGTTCACGAGCAGTCGAGTGTACGATTCGTTCGACCATTCAACTTTTTAGATTGGACCAATTTCTTCGTGCCAGAATCTGAGAAGAGAGACTTGTACGTTGGAGTAATCGGTAAAGATCAGTTTTGGTTAGAAACGACCGCCATACCCTCGATCGAGTGAGCATTCGAGATGTAACGTTCTTTCGATTGTCGCCATTACGACAATATCGTTGTAAGTTTACATGTAAATTTTTTCTCGTTTTAGATCTAGTGGATTGTCTTTGTATCGATCAAGCCTGAACGAGTACAATGTAAAAGTGTTGCCGCAAGAATTGCAGAGGATGAAGAATTCTCGGTTAATATTGTTGATTGTACCGCAACATTCGCGTGGTATCACTATAATGGCATTGGCAGCTCACCTCATTGGTTTACGCGCAAAATTAGTCCTGTGCGTTCAAACGCTTCCCGAAGACTGCTTAGTTTCTGGTGAAAAGGTGAGCATTCTTGCCTTGTCTTCTATCAATATACAGATTTATATTGTGCACAAATATGTATTTTTTATCTTGCACTCCTATAGACTTTGTATTCTTTCTCCTGTAGTTTCTTCCTTTGTTTTATCTTTTCGTTTTTTTTATTGTTCTTACCGTGTAATCCTCTGTTTTTCCATTGAGTGAAACTCTGAATATTATATTTATATATAAAAGATTTTCTTTTAGCTAACCGAACAAGCCGTAAAAGACTACAATCGGGGAAGAATGTACCTGTCGGACTACGCGACGCGCGAAGGTGTACCTGTTTTTCAGAATATCGCAGATGCTTTGCAACATGCGATACAGCTAGTTCAGCATCTCTGTTAATTTTTTTTTTTTCTTCTATTTCCTCTCCCTTTTTTTAATTTTTTCAACTCCTTCCGTCCCTCCTTTGCTCCCACTTTTCTTCTTTTTTTGCTGTTTATATTTGTACCTTTTTTTTTTTCATACGAGTAAACTTTTCAATTCACCAATTAATTTATTTTTATTATTAGCGATAATGTTCAACTACTGATCGATCGAACATCTAAAAAAAAAAAAAAAAAAAAAAAACCGAATTTGCACTTATTCTAATTAGGTAAAGAATCCACTGAATCCGCAATAGTTGTGAGATTTGCGATAAACGTTTGATACACATTAGTTTATTGGACGAGGAAAAATAATAGTGTTATTTAGACCGCTGAAGTTAAAAAATATTTACATTTTTATCACGTGGATGGATTTCATTATCATAAAGTGGCTTATATCGAACGAGCCATGTTAAATTAATTTGAATTCTCAATGAAATTTTCTCGTGGTAGTTGAACATACATTTTATAACGATTCAACTCAATAATTTTGTAACCATTTGGTAACCGGTTGAGGATTGATATACGTGTATTGTACATAGATTATTAGTTGTTTCTAACGATTTAATGATAATTAATTTGAAATTTGTTAAAAAGAATGTATGAGAATGCGTGGAAGACGTTTGGTAGTATTAAATTTGTGTGCGTAAATGTGAACAAAAGACGCGTATACCTGTGTATAAACAGATTTATCTAGCGCTACTCTATACTATATTATATGCTGTGACGCAAACGTAATACATCATACGGATTCGTATTTCGTCCGTCGATAATAGAAATTACGAGGCAATTGTAATTCTAGACTACCTGTTTGTGTGCGAGAAATATGCAGGACAAACAAAGGTTAAATTTAACTGTATGTAAATTATCTCGAATCCATTCTATATTCTTTGGAATGATTTAAACAGCTCAGCGCATTCTCTGTCCCTCCCTGACACCTCTTCTTACTACTCTCTGTCTCTGTCTCTCTTTCTTAATCTTTCACTCACCTAGTCCCTTCTATATTTCTCACCATTCACTCACTGATTCACCCGACACTTTCTGCTGTTTTTATAACTTGAAACATTTTCTTTGTACAATAAAAAAAATATTGTTTTTATTCGTGATGTTTGTTTGTTTCATCGACTTTTATCTAGATAAAACGTATGGAAATGACTCAGCGACGAGATACATTAAAAACGATAAAAGAAAAAGAGAACAAGAAGAACTAGACACTTGACACTTGGTTGAAAACCTGATGCAGTTCTAAAGATTATTGGTTCTTCGACCGGAATAATAGCGATAAATATTTTTCAAGGAAAGCAAAACTGGTACCATGGCTGGTAAAAAGAGAGGTGTGTATACAGCGTATCTGAAATTAAAAGAAATACAATTAGAAATGAGAAAAGTTTGGCGAAAATACATAAAGGATGCCTTGGTAGTATCCTTACGATGTAAATGTGTCTTACTTTTGATCTTCGGGGAAATATAGTAAAGCAAAGAGTGTTGGATCGGAGAATGCCGCTTCCGCAGTAACAAATGCTTCTTTGCTTAACAGAAAACCTGTAGCTAGATCACCGTGCGTTAATTGTTCAGCCGAATCTTCTACCAAACGTAAAGCTGTCTTTATTCTGTGCCCTACAACATCTGTGATCACAATGTTGCTAATTTCCTGAAGAAGCTGAGCAAGCGATTGAAGAGTCAATTTCGCCGATGTTAATTGCTCGATCGTGCGTATACGTAACAATACATCGACTTCCCAATCGTGCAGTTTCAATCCCGGTAAAGAAAGAGCGTTAACACCGTTCAAGAATTTCTAAAAAGAAAAAATAGAGTAGTATCGCAATCACTTAGCATCACAGATGTTACCGAGAATAAAATCGACAATAAAAGAAGAAAGCAGGTTAAAACAACTATGTAAATGAGAAATTTTACAGAAAATTTAATAAATACCGGTTCTGGAATGCCCAAAAGAAGTTTCAATTGGGTAAGAAAGGTTCCAACAACAGTAGTTTGTTCAGGAACAATGGTAACTGGTTGATCGGGTTTCGCAGCTATGCAAGCTTCAACGGGTGGATTAATCAAGACTACACCACCCCATCTACACGGTCACGAAACAGAAAAGACAACGTATTAGACAACGTTACAGAAAGTGTAATATCCTTACTCGCGAGTTAATCCGAAAATTCGTCAATTGCAAAAATTTCGAAATGTCTGGAGGCGTTTGAAGCAGTACCTCGGTGACAGAAACGCTTCAACGTTAGCGGTGATTTTCCATCGATGTCCAGAACGCGTGTAAACATGCAACGGAGCGCTGTCACAAGGAACAGCGTAGATAACGAAGTTGATAGTTGGTCGGAGGCTAACCTGTGAGGCTATTGATGTAATAAATGTTGTCAATTTTATTTTGTTTCTTATAGGAAAATGAAAATACGAATAACACACACCTAGCTTCTTCTCCAACGGTGTGATTAATTGAGGCAGAACGTCTTCCGACAGTGCAAAATGCCTACCTAATGGGCTACTATCAGGCACTCGTTTCGGATTAACATCCAGTGGTAGTAAATACAACCACTGAGACTTTACGGAGAAGTTGCTCAAGATCGACAGCTCAGAAAGAAATGGCTCGACGTACTCTAAAAAAAAAACACAAAATACATATATATATAAAAAAAAAAAAAAAATATGTGTAGATATGAACAATGAAGAGCATACAACAATAACAACAAGAGTCTACACAAGTCCTTCCCCATTACCATGGTTAACACCATGGTGTGCAAAAACAGAACGGAGGTATTTTAAATAATTGAAGTAATATAAATAATTTTGGAAATATGTTTTCGAAGTGACTCTAGTAAGAAATATTTGTTGATTTTATTTCGCAAAATGCCTTGAAACAATAAAATTTTTCAGCTTTAACGGCAAGTTGGTATCTACTTCAGAATTCTGTTAAAATTTTTGTATTGATCTCAATACGTCTATACGGTATGTATTGAGTACCTTTTGTACAACATGAAATAAAATCGATTCGACGATTTTTTTTTTTTTTTTGTTACCAGCAAATGAAAAGACAATATTTACAACTTGGAAAAATTGTTTTAAAGTAGCGTTAATCGTAGAAAGATCTTTCTTAGTTACGCACCTTCGGTCATCGTTCGAAGATCCCAAGTAACTTTCAATTTTTCTGGATCAGGATTGACCAGAGTGATCAATACATCGTAAGCCGGGTTAGCCGGGAACCTCCGTCTGTTTTCCTCATCTAGGCTGTAAAGAGTCGGTTCGGTGAGTGCATTTCTCGTTAAGGCCAGCGACTCTTCGAGTAATATCCACTCCGACAGTACTCGAATTAAAGTGGAGGTAGCTAAAATGAAAATCGCCGTTTCAATCAAAGAAAGTATCGACGAAAAGGATCGAGTTCCGGAAGAGCGCGGTGAAATTTTACTTTTAATTCTCGGTCGCTTACTAGTCTCTGTAGAAAAGTAAATGGTTCTTCTCGAACCAACGAGAACCACATCGTGCAAGTTGTTTGTTTCCAAAAGCAGAAGTTGTCCAACGTCGAGATCGAAGGCAGACGCTATTTTCTCCAATTCGTGATAGGTAAACGCGGAAGTCATTAAGTTACTGGATATCACGTGATAAACAATTTCTATTTGGTAGATACCTGCAACATACAAAGGGTGTGAGTCGCGTCGGGAAGGATTTACGTATGTAAATACGTATGCAAGTCGGTACGAGGAGATTTTCTCGCCGTAAAAGAATGAAAGAAAAAGTATTTCGTCCTTACGATTGTTCGAAAAAGACCGAATTTAAAAACTTACTTACTTAGTACGTGCGAATTCGACGAATTGTCGAACTAGGGTTACGGAATAAGAAGAAAAAGGAAGAGAAAGAAAGAAAGAAAGAAAGAAAGAAAGAAAGAAAGAAAGATCATTTCATTTTCATTTACTTACTGGCATTTTTAAAGGCATCGTTTATATCGTGCACCAATGATTCAGCTCGATCTCGAGACAGAGCTACGATGACAATTTTCGTTTTAATATTGATGTCTAAATCGGAAAGTGCCTCGATTCCAGCATACGGGAGTGATACTCGTGGAACTGCGGTAGTATGCCACCAAAGAGGAACTCCGACACCCAACAACAATACCGCGAAGGAGATGCTCGCGTAAACTCTGTATTTTTCTGAAAAAAATTTTTTTTTCTTTTTAAACTCGTTGATACCGACTAGTAAAACTTTAGAGTCGGAATAAACGTAGAGTAGAATGGCCAAACTGTCTCGTCTCCGCCGTATTTTGTAATTTTTTAACGAAGCTGGACAACGAAATAATATTTTTTCGGTCGAATACATCCATAGAGTATACCGACAAAATTTAGCCATAAAATACGAAAGTGACAGAATCTAACTGACTTTGTCGTTTTGGACCCACGAATTTGGATCTGCGGTGTACAAATTTTCAATTTTTGTCTATGAAAGAAACTATGAAATTCGAGGGAGAACGTGATAAATCTGTTGGATCCGTTGCAAGTGGCCGATTCACAATTTGAGGGTGCAACAATCGGCCATCAGATTCTCAGTGTCAATCGTCAGAAAAAGTCATGCGAGAAAAAAGTGCGAAAAAACCAACGAAAGACCTATGAAATCATTGAATATGTTTCATTTCAACAACGGTTTAACCGCCCTGACATTGCATCTCGTGGGAAAAAGTCTGACGAAAAAAGATTCACAACGATCAACTTATTCGTACAATTAATTTTTCGAAATTTTTCGACACCGAGGACATTTGACCGAGCGGTACGAAGTTTGCATTTTCCCCAACTAGCGGTCTGTTTGAACCATGCGATGCGTCACACGTAATAAACACGAGGACGAACGATAGCGTGAGCGGGATTAATTACTAGCGGGATTAGATTGATTTAAACGCTGCATCGTCGCTCTTACTTTACGTTACTCTCCACCATTGAAATTGAAATGTGTGTATTTAGTTGGAAAATTTCAATTAATCTTACTAAATGAATAACAATCAAGAATAACACTCGTTACCTAGTTACCTCGCGTACGACGACAAAATGTCAAAATCAAGGGATATTTATACACTGGTAATTTATCAAGTCGACGAATATCGGCGGAATTTTTACAAAGTTTTTACGAAGAAGAAAGAATGGGATTCACGACGCCAATTTGTCGCCAATTCGTCGCCAATTCTCAGGACACGTGTCGTATACACGTATTATACCTAGTGTACAACCTGGATCTCTGTCCCCACGTTTCGAATTCACGTTCGTACATATCCCGGGAAAGAAAAGGGACGAAGCGAAAAAGATATTAGTCCCACCGAGGGATTCGAATTCCACCTGGGTGATTGGTAAGCTTACGTTGAACCTGCAATAAGAACATCGACGTATCAAGGTCGAGAGACGGGGAACGATACGTCTGTCGCGAGTCGCTGCTTCGTTGAGTTCACTTACCAGTCGTTGAAGAACCAACCAAGCAGCCGGAGGACGTACCACGAGGTAGGGGTAAGAGCAAAAAAACACGAGAAAACACAAGTAGGAAGGAGAAGAGGAGGCGGAAGAAGAAAAAGTGGAAGAAGACGAAGAAAGAGGAAAAAGTGACGGTAGCAGAAAGAAAAGACGGAACGAGAGGCAGAAGAAGCGACAGTTGAGTAAGAGGAGGAAAAATGAAGAAAGGGGTGATTGTGTTTTGATCGGGAATAGTTTTCAATTCTCTTTCTTGAAACGAAACGAAACGAAACGAAACGAAACGAAACGAAAGGAAGCAGTGATAGAGAGAAGTGAGTGCGACGATCAAAGAAGGAACTCGATTCTGCTTGGTGAGATCTCGTTGTCGGTGAGCGAGAATATGCGCGACGATCGAGTTCTCGTTGTCCGTGAGCGAGAATATGCGCGACGATAATAGTGCGTACGAACTGTGACACGTTGATTGAAGAATCAACAGTGATTCGAGATCCCGTTCGTGTTCGAATGCACATTCGTGTTCATTGCCCGCGCGATATCGAATCAACCGATTTCAATTAGCATTGGACACTCGATACGACCGTATGTCGATCTTCAATTTCTCAAATGTTTATGTTCGTTATGCACCTATTGCCTCTTATAATTGTAAAATCGCCAGGAAACTTTCAATTTTTATATTTTGCGTTGCATATTTCTTTTTATATTGTGCGATAACGTGATAAGTAACCTGCGGATGTTTATGAGAAATTTAAAGGTGCGAAAACGCACAGAACGCGCACACAGCTAACTATAGATATTTTTCGTTCTTTTCTATCAGTTCGGAAAGAAATTTTTTTTATCTTATTTATCTAGCTTTCTCAAGTCATTCTACCATACCATACAAATCAAGTTACTCTAAATATAATTGAAGGGAATTATCGCGACAATAAATTGATAAGATTTGCAAATCAAATTTACTCGTACCTAAACAAAAAATGAATGGCATGAACAGCGCGTCACTGTAACGGTAAGTTTTGTAAGATTGACTTATTCGATCCTGTAATCTCGAGTCACAATTACAATTATTTATCGCGTACATCTCGTATCTATTGCCTGTATAAGAACTGAAAATTTTAATTGGCAATTTTACAGTTGTGAGAAGCAGAATATAGCAGCAAAGTAATTGTTTGAAGACCGGTATTTGCACAAGTTTCTCTTTTCGTGGATATGATTAAAAAAATATTAATTTAAACAAGTAGCGTATATATTATATCTTTTTGGATGTTTTATATACGCATTTTATTTTTACGAATAGATATTGAAATACATACATGTGTATGTATAATACATATAACCTGTATATCTCAATACGTTACATACAGTAATTAATCAGGATTAAAGCGACGTGACAAACCATTTCTACTACATAGTGTCATTTCTGTCTCAAAAGATGGTAAAGATCGATATTATCAAAAACTGCAATTTTTGACAAATAGTGCGATAACAGTCGTTCCGATTATTTTGGCAATTGACAACAAATGTTAAATTTCCCATAAATCCATTCTAATTCGCATTCTAACGACGACGTTCGTTTACTTTTACTTTCGATCCTGTGAATCTTTTTGTTTCGTCTCTGGTCGGTGTGAGCTCAGTATGATTGATTCTTGCGGAATTCGTGTATATGTAACTTACTGCCTCGATTCGATGTCAGACTTCGATCGCAAACTTTGCGATAACAACGGAAAAGAAAAAGAATACAGAAAAGCAGCAACATCGATAAAAAAGGTATTTTTAAATATTCTGTATCAGTAAAAAGCAACAAAAAAAAAAAAAAAAAAAAAAAAAAAAAAAAAATCGATGAAGGTGCACATCCACGAAGGATAGTCGCGCAGATGGTCGTTCCGATTTTTGACCAGTTTACCAATCGGAGGAGACTCGATTCGAGGAGATCTCGTTACAATACAATACAATACAATACAATACAATAATTTCTCTGTATCCATTATGTTCCTTATATTTTAATAATTCTTCAATATCAAAATCTATTGTAAAAATTAGAATTGACACGTGATGATAATAAAAATTAGAATATCTGATATTGAAGTTTAGTTGTATTTGGACTAAAAATTACAACGAGTATTTTGTATACATACATACATATATTTTTTATACCAAGCGCATTTCTTGCATTTTTGCACTTGTGAATTTTCTATAAATGAACAAATAACAATATCCGCTCTCTATTGACTTTTACCGTCAAGAATTGGACAGATATTTTCGATCGATAGATTCGACTCGATTAACAAGTTTAGATTAAACCGTTAATATGGCAGAATGTGGTGTAATTGCAAACGTTTTGAAATCGTAAAGACTCGATGTAACTGGTTGATTGCTGTTGCTGCACAATTGTAAACACCCCTTTTGTCTCAACTGTTATTAAATTAACAATTAAGACAATTAAAATTGGAACGAGAGCTCGTGTAATATAATTTTGTAAATGGTTGTACAAATGGTAACAATATTAATTGATCAAACGTATTTTGGCTTAGTTGAAATGACATTTATATCATTTATTTACAAACGCAATTAAAAAAGTAAAAACGCATGGAAATTACTAAATGTTATTCCTTTGATCATTTCACGTTACTCTACTCATGCAAGTGAGTGCGTCAGGTGCATAAATTCTCTAAATTTCCCATATAAAGGGAATTACAAATAAACATCGGTTCACGTATAACCATCGATATAAAGTTTAGAATTTTTTTCGAATTGATAGAGAGTTTAGAATTTGTTTAGAACACAAGATACATAATTGGCATTTCATCGATCGTTCCATTATAAAAATGTAGATCGCGTGTCGCGAATAAGATGAAATCCAATTGGGTGAACACGATGTGTACGCATAGGGAGGACGATTTTGTTTGAATGTCGACGTTGACATGCTTTTCGATTTTTTCTTTTTAGATGGAAACGAAACGACACGGAGATTCGTCGAAATAGCACGATAGCACAAGGCAGGGAATCAGTTTCAAGAGTCCCAGGACGCGATCGAGTTGAGGAAGGAATTCAACACAACGAATGCATGTACGTACGTACGTATGTATGTATGTATGTATATATGTATGTATGTATGCACGTGAAATGGACGACGACGGGGTTAGACGACCCGTCGTGCAAGACCTTCGGGGTCAATCTCGTTCGGTGTCGCTTGTTAGCAAAATTACTTAGCCCGTAATCCGAGTATACGATACAAAAAGAGGGACTAGAGAGAAGGGCAGAGGTAACAGCAACGAAAGAAACAAGAATTGCGCAATTCTTTGCACGTATATGTATATACGTACGTACGTGCAAAGTACGTGCCGATTTGATCCTTGTGAGGAAACAATGCAGACACAAATATCGGTTTTGAAATCACCGTTAATTGGCAAAACGAGACACGTTGCTTTCAACTGGCGCGAACGCCTCAGTTCATTCGTCACGGCGCGTCGAAATCATTGCGTTGTCCTGTCCTGTCCTGTCCTGTCCTGTCCTATCCCTTCTACCCTGTCCTTTTCTCCGAAGAATAGAGAAACACTTCGTCGACGTTATAGCTATATTTCGGTTTCTTTTCTAGGTAGGTAAGTAAGTACATGGCTCTTGGCTCAAACATCGACGAACAACGATGGCTTCGCAGGCTAATGATCTATATCTGGAAACTACCGATCCCACCAATACGAGGTATGCATTTTTTTTTTTTTTTTTTTTAAATTATAATTGAAGAACGAACGATATTCGAGAGCAATTCATGAATTGTCGATTAATCGTAATTTACGTAAAGGGGAGACGGATGAAACGACGCGTTTCTGACGTTACGAATGAAATTAATTAAGTTGTACTACTCTCTATTATATTCGTAGCAAATTTCCGATCAAGCCCAATAACACTACTATTTTCTATCAGATAATAAATAAAAATCTTCATCTACATTTCTTTATATTTACTTCCTCGTGTATTTTATATATGTACGTACGTATGCGTGTATGTACATATTTACATACAGGACAGTTCACTAATTCAAACAGCAATTTATCGAACGATAAATTTTCCAATGAAAAAACTTCAAAACTATCACAATTTTATGCATTTCTAGTCCTTGTGTTTTCCATAAACGCATAAAAATCCACAATCGCGTCGTCTATCTCTTCAGTGTGTACATAATCGGTGTCTATAGATACGTATCGTTTCATTTTTTTTATTTTTTTATTTTTAACCTATATTGTTTCAGAAAAACAAGAACAGACGGATTTGGCAAATTGTTGATACGATTTCTCTCAATCTACTGGAGATCGTTCGTGATTACACTATGGCCGCTGATTTTGTTACCTATCGTCGTCGTCGATACTACCGAGGTTTGTACCAACAGAAACATCTTGTATTAGTTAATGATGACCCTTTCAACATCATCATTCGTCATTCCTTTCGTCTTTTTTTTTTTCCAAAAGCTTGTTAAGTGTTGTTTTACCTTTTACCTGGAGGATTATCATTCGAATTAAGTATTAATTTCCACTGATATCATCGAGATGATTAGAAATCACAGATGTCTTGTGCGAAAACATTGCCTTTTTAATACATATATGTACTTACAAACAAGCATCGTTTGTAAGTACGTATTATGCGTATGTTTTGAATGGAAAAACACGACAGATTCCATAAATTTTAAACCAACGCCAATGCCTGTTTCTTTGGTATTTGTGTGAGCCAATCTTCTTCTTTCTTGCTCTTCCTCTGTGTCTTTGTTCCATAATTTCTTTTTATTGTTATTTCTTACTCTCTCTGTTCTCATTCTTGCGTTACGTGTTACATCTTCCACTTAGTTTTCTCCACTGCGGTAAAAGCATCGTTTAAGAAAACCATTTATGTACACATGCCTGTATACGTGCGTGTCCACAAACAAACAGTGAACAAATGAAAATATAAATTTGTGCATTTCGAGACGAAAATGTGAATGTCATTTGCATTTTTCATTTTCCTGTTTGTTTGTCCATTTGTAAAATGGATGGAAATGATTAAGTGTCGATCGATCACAGGTAAGAGCGATGCGATGCTTGTACGTGGTTGGCTTGATGGCAATGTTTTGGATGACCGAGGTGCTCCCTTTACCAATCACAGGTTTAATTCCTGTCGTTCTCTATCCACTGATGGGCATAATGAATACCGTCGACACCTGCACCTGTTATATGAACGACACTACGATGATGTTTATCGGTAGCATGGTGATTGCAATCGTTATCGAAAACTCCGGCCTGCATATGCGCATCGCGCTATTAATTATTAAAATGATTGGCTGCAGCCACCGAAGGTAACTCAAAATGACAAAAAATATTAGATCTTTCACTTGTCCGTCAATCATTTCATTTCTTCTATCGTATCGGTATAAATGATCGGTAATAAATACAAATAAATTGCGCAAATATTCACAATCTATTTGTCGGTTTTCATATAATGCATACTTGCTCTTTCCTACATATTTATATATTTATCTTTAATAAATAACTGCCGATTTATTAGTTTCGTCTAGTTTCGAAAAATAATTTTCTGAATCGTATTTCACTTTTGATTATTCATGATTACACGATTTCATTTCGTTCATTTTATTCATGATTACATGATTGTATAATTCTGAAGGCCACCATTTTGATGCCTGACTGTATCATTCTGAACGATTAATTGCTCGCTTTGTAGATTCAATTATCACAGTTTAGATGAAATCAATATGTACCTTTTTAATACGTACCCACGAATAGATTGTACATATTATGTAAAACGTGCATATACAATTATACAATCTACAGACTAACGTTGGGCTTGTTCTGCGTGACCATGTTCCTGTCCATGTGGATTTCAAATACCGCTGCTACCACCATGATGTTACCCATAGTCGAAACCGTTCTGTTAGAACTTGAAGCAGTAAGTAATTAAACACTTACCTTATCAACCGCTATCAAGTCGTAATGTCTTTCAATTCATTTGAATTTCATTTGCATTTCCTTTGGACTTTCAGCAAGGTTTGGGTAATATGTTTGATCAGGAGGAAAACAGCTGCGGCGAAGAGGGAACAGAACCGTACGTAGTCATAAACTCATCAATTTAAACGATCGTGTCAATTATGTTATTAATGGGATGGTTGCATTTTATTGTATATTCACACTCGAAAAGAATATTGCGCTGTATGCGCTTCTTATTCACTGACTTTTGACAATTATTCCGTGGCCCGACCAACAACCGACAACAAAGACGAACGCAAACACACTTTTGAGAGAAGTAATTATATAACTTTAAAGAGGAAGGAAGACGAAGTTTCATTAATGAACAAATGAAGTTGTTAATCCGATCGAACAGAAAAAAAGAAAGAAAAAAAAAAGCCACGTTTCTTTGCCAATTGCTGATAGTGCTGATAGCTAATTTATTTCTGTAATAATCATAGGACAAAAAAACCGACTCATACCACCATGGTTTATTATCTCGTGACGGCATACGCTTCTAGTCTCGGTGGCATTGGTACGCTGGTTGGGACAGGCACCAACTTGACGTTAAAAGGATTCTTTGAGAAGTAAGCGCATTTGATGAACGACATACCGTTCGTAAACTATGAAACGATTAAGTGTAACGAGAGAGAGAGAGAGAGAGAGAGACAATTGTTCACTTATGTTGCAGGAGATTCCCAAACAGTTCGGGTATCAGTCTGGCATCCTGGATGCTTTACTCTGTCCCACCGATGCTTCTAATGGGTTTTCTCACGTGGCTTTGGCTTCAAGTTATGTACATGGGAATGTTCAGACCGGACAGCAAAGATGCACGAGCCATTAATATTGGGCTGCAAGGAGAAAAGGTTGCAGCAACCGTGGTTGAGAAAAAATACAAAGAACTCGGTCCAATTACGTGGCACGAGTCTGTTGTTGGCATTCTTTTTTTTACAGTTGTACTTCTGTGGTTCTTTAGAAATCCTGGATTCACAGAGGGCTGGCCAAGTTATCTTACTAATTTGTAGGTATCATTTTTCTTTCTCCAGTTCATTAATTTCTCAACGATTTCGTACGTCATACGTAAGATTTGATTTCGTATCTTTCTAAGCTTGTATCATGTGACTCTCGGTCACCATGTTCCACGCATGTAGAAAGGGTACTAGGAGTAGGGCTACTGTCGTTGAGAAGTTAATGATTGTTGTTATTCCTTCGATATTCTTCCAAGTTTCTTTGCTTCTTCTTTGCCCTTATCCTCTTCTTTTTCCTGTTGCTGAAACGGAAACTCGTTTCAACAAAATGTCCGCAACAAACGTAGTTCTTTGCAGACACGTGAAAGATTCGACAGCGGCCGCTTGCGTCACCATTCTCTTCTTCGTATTGCCGTCCAAGCTAGATTTCCTCCGAGCATTTGACTCGGATCCGATTAATCGTCCAACCAAACCGTCGCCAGGCATGATTAGTTGGAAAATGATCAATCAGAAGATGCATTGGAGTTTGATCCTAGTTTTGGGTGGTGGATTTGCCATTTCAGCTGGCAGCACCAGTTCCAATCTTTCCTCTATTGTAGGAAATGCTCTTGTTGCTTTAAAATTAATAAATCCATTTGCAATATTGGTTATTGTATGCGTGTTTGCTGAAACTGTGACAGAACTGACATCTAACGTTGCAGTCGCGAACATTATCTTGCCGGTTTTGGCAGAAATGGTAAGGAGCTCTAAATGACGTTCATTTTTCTTCATTTTCCAATTCATGTTTGCGTTTTGTTTGAGAAGCTAATGCGTACACCGATTGTTACATATTTATATGATGATTATTTCAGTGCGTCGCTTTACGGATACATCCACTGTTCCTGATGATGCCAGCTTCTCTGTGTTGCTCTTTCTCATTTCACTTGCCAGTAGGCACACCGCCAAATGCAATAGCTGTTGCAGCAGGTCACATAAAAACTAGAGATATTGCAATAGCTGGAATAGGACCTACCATTATAACACTTCTAGTTACAACACTTGCATTTTCCACTTGGGGCACGTATATCTTTAACTTGTCCGAGTTCCCTGACTGGGCAACTTAACGCTGCACTTGTGCGTTTAGTATACAGCTTATACATCATTTTCACTCGACCAACACTCGAACGAATGTCAAACACGAGTAGTCGGTTTATACTATTACCAAGTAGCATACGAACTAACGTTATAAATATTGTTTAACAGAAATATCAAATCTACTGGATTAACGAGAAACATTACTCGCGTAATAGCTAATTGTCTGACTGAATACGTCAAATGTATAATTTTGATAACAATAAGAGAAACGAAAGTTACGACGCAAAAATAAACGTAGAAATCAAAAAAATAAGAGTAAATGGACTTACCATCCACAGCTGTGTCATAACCTATTGTATCCGATACTTCGGCATTTCCACTCATGTTGCACTCTTTTCCCTTTCTGTTGTCAATGTTTATCGCTAAAAGAAGACAAAATTATGTGTGTTATTACGTGTGCAAAACTGCACGATCAAATAGTATCGAAATACTGAACTAACCAAAATTTACGAATGCATTTTTCTAAACGATAAACAACGTTCCCCTTGCATTGTTTGGTACAAACATATTTTTAAAGTAAAATACCGGTGAGATCGTACAGTCACAATCAATTTTCCTCTGCTGTCAACAAATTCATTCTTGCGACAATTTTAGTTTCATGAAAACCAACCATTACGCCGTTAATAACGATAACGCGTTCATCAGTTTTTTTTTCCCCTGATTGTGCCTGCGGTAGCTGCAGTGCCTACTAATTAAATTTTTTATATACCGAACGCTCGATTAAACTCTGAACTGAAAGGTTGATTTTCATAAAACGAAAACTTACGAAAAGGCTGTTTGCAAATTTTATTCGTTCGTTTTATCAAATTCATTTTTCTATTACATATTTATTACATTTTTCTCTTTTACTTACACTCTCTTTAATACTGATGATTTGCATAATATGGAGTTTTTGAAAAAACGAGAAGTGAAATTTATTTGTATTTTATTTGTTTGAAGCAAAAACAGTGTATTTTATTATTACAACGGAGTCGTTAATTTTTAGATGCATTGCGTCTAAAAATTGTAACTCGATAGACGTCCGTGGATGCGTTAGATAGGTAGGATAAATAAAATAACGTAAGTAGTATTTACTTTTTTTTCTTTTGTCTAATTATGTATTTTTTAAAGTTTGGAGTATTTAAACGTATAAGAATAGTTGGAAATGGTTAGTAGAAGTGTAGAAATAAATGTGCAGAGTAGAATAGATTATGTGAATTTTTCTGGGTATGCTAGTGCGTAACAAGGGTTAGGTATTGTTCGGAATGAATTGTTGGAGGATGCGGTTAGAATTCGTAGCTCGGAGAGCAGTCGCGTAAAATTAGGTCTGTTCTCGCACTCTGTAACCCAACAAGATTGCATCAAGTTGTAAATACTCGGAGGAACGTTGTCTGGTTGTTCCAAACGTCCGTTCTCGTGAACGATGTGACGGAATATACGATCATCTTGTACATTCGCATAAGGGAAATCGCCTAACGTACAAATTTCCCAAAGTACCACTCCAAAAGACCACACGTCACTTTTCGAAGAGAAGGCTAATTTATACAAAGCTTCTGGCGACATCCATCTAATTGGGAGATGATGTGTCTTTTCTTCCGCGTTTTTTATTATGTATATACCATTGCGAGAAAGCCCAAAGTCAGAAATCTAAACGTTGTTATTAGACCTTGTTAAAGATATTCAACTTTAACGAAAATAGAAATGTCAAAAAATTTATTTTAAATACCTTGACAGTCAAATTTGCACTAAGAAGAATATTCCTTGCCGCGAGATCTCTGTGAGTAATCCTTTTAGCTTCCAAATGTTCCATACCTGCAGCAATCTCTGTAGCAAATTTTAAAAACTGATGCCCTTTTATTCTACCAATCCAATTTTCTTTATTATCTATTGCTTCTCTATAATTACTAGTAATGTTTGTATATTGTCTAGATTTGAAACTATTTATTTTATTCCATATCACAGAACACATCGTGGCGTACAAAGCTGAAAATTAAAGTTACGTCAATTTTTCAGATTGCATTAAATACAGTTATAGTCACAAATCGACAAACTATTTACTTTTTGAAACATCAATCCCTTCTCTACAATTATTGGCAATATTTGTATATTGGTCAGACTTGTAATTATTTGTTTTGTTCTGCATGGTAGAATACATAGAGTCGTACAAAACTGGAAATCAAGATTATATCAGCTTTTCAGGAGCATGTTGATTATAAATGAAATTGTAACAAGCTAATAACATTTCACGACGATCGAATAATCTTCTCACATTGTTGGTTCCTTTGATCGTGCAAGTAGGTTAATAAATCTCCACCTTGCATATATTCAAGCACGATACATGTCGGTTCTGTAGGTTGAACGCAGTAGCCTACGAGGCTTACTAAATGAGGATGATTCCCAGCTATTCTCATTATTTCAATTTCTTTTATAAATTCTTGCCGTGTTTCAGAATCCTTGGATATATCTGTTTGTTGAGACATTTTCACAGCGACCAAAGTTTTATCTTTATCATCCAAATGACCGAGATATACTTTTCCAAAGTGTCCAGTACCTAATTCACGCATTAGTCTTACACTTTTAAATGGCACTTTCAAATTATCTGTATCTACTATATATCCTTCCTAAGGATAAGAAAAATCATTTATATTAATAGCAGAAAAGCATTGCATTGTTGCGGACACACAAAATTGTCTATTTACTTCTGATTCATATTTAATATACAAAGCGTTGTACGCTCGAAGTATCGTTCTTGTCAATTTACATTTATATCCAGAAATTGTGTGCATTCCAGGCTTACTACTTTTACGTATTATAAAGAAATTATAGTTGCGATACAATAGGAAGCTTGCAATTCCAAATAGAACACAACTAGTTGATATTCCAATTGATATAAGCCACTAAAAAATAATATTTAAAAAACATGAACGAAAATAATGATACACTTGTATGTATTACTTGGTGTGTTGTAATTTTGAGTAGTGTCTTACTATATTGCGGTTCGTCGGTGATACGGAGTGTATAATGATATCTTCTGCTGATCCAGTGCATCCATGATGATTGACAGCATTGACTACTATTTTGTAGCCATTTTTAATCTTTGCGTGCCGATTATTAGCTTTTAAATCCCACGAAAATATAGTTTTATTTGCAGGTATTAGTGCTAATTCTGTCATATTATATACAGGTAACCCATTCTTTGATAAAAAGAGCGGTATACCAATGCTACAAAATAAATGCTTAAATAAGCAAGTTAATTATACATTGAATCGTCTTTGTATGTATCACCTTATTTTATAATATTGAACGTTGGATGTGTTAAAAGTTGGGCTCCAAGTTACAACAATCTCATCCTCTCTTTGAAAAGTGTTTACTTTTGGAATTGGTAGTGTTGTATTGGCATTAACACAATTACTTGGGACTGTATACACTACCTATAAAATTTAAGCAAACTTCTCATTGGTTTTACACAAATCACTTACATTTATCGTATATATTATATTTGTATCCTGTACAAAGAACTTACTTCAGGTGCATTTAGTACATATTTTGATCTTGGATTGGCAAAGACTTGTACCTTGTACGAACAGTTAGGTTGTATATATAGATCTGGGATATTAAATAAATCATTGTATTCAGGGAAGACTATGTTGTGTTTTGCGTTACCCTTTAATATAGAGAAAAATGATCCTTTTGGGCATTCTGCGACATTCTTTCCCCTTATTGGTGTCCCTGTGACTATGACGCTATCGTATGCAAAACAAGACAAATCAACAACAAAGTAACAAAATATTCTTTTATGCATTATTGATAAAAATTTACCTATAAGAAGACGGCTGCTTAATGCTATTTGGTGGCAACCAAGATATATTCAATTTTAAGAACTTGTACGCATCGTGCTTTTCTTTATAGTTCCAACCTTGTAAAAATTTCACACTCAAGTTTCGTACAGCTCCAACAAATTCGTTCGTATTTTTCGCATAGTTCTCGTTGTATAAATAAGATAAAACGAGCGCAACATATATTAACAACGATTGAATTCGTACTAACATTTCATTTTTCAATTATAAATGATTTAAACACGAGTAATTGCACTGTATTTAATTGTAGTATCAGGATTACCAAGTTATCTTCTTTTACAGAGTGAACGTATTATCATTAAAGAATCTATCAGATAATTTTTCTCACGGTGAGGAATAAAATTTTCAAGTGCGCGATAACACGATAAGCTCAATAGTTAATATTAAATATGTAGTTATATCTACATCTCCTGTATTAACAGTTTGGCTAATTTAAGGTGCCGATTCAAAGACACAGGGAACAAGAAAAAGGAAAACATTTAGATAATGTTGATATTTAGTGGTCTTTTTCTTTATTATTATTTTTCTCTTTTTTTACTGCTTTATATATAAATACCTGGCATAATTTCAAAAATCAATCAGTGTACATACATACGTACGATATTTATGATCTAGAATCCAGAATACATATATTCAATAGATCGATAAAAATTAAAAAAGTTGAATAAGTGACAGAAATAAATTCACGATTCATAGACATACACATCGAAAACAAACTAATTTTTTGTTTGAATTTTGTAGAGAAACATGGCCTCGGCTGCCATATCACCGACGGAAGACGATGAATTGACCTTGCCACGTGCGTCGATCAACAAAATGATTAAGGAAATTTTACCACACGTACGCGTAGCAAACGAATCCCGGGAATTGATATTAAACTGTTGCACGGAATTTATTCACTTACTTTCCTCTGAAGCAAATGAAATTTGTAATCAGCAGCAGAAGAAAACAATTAATGCCGAACATGTGCTTCAAGCGCTTGAAAAGCTTGGATTTGGAGATTATAGCGCAGAAGCTGAGGCAGTCTTGCGAGATTGCAAAGCTGTTGCGGCTAAGCGAAGAAGACAGAGTACTAGATTAGAAAATTTAGGAATTCCGGAAGAAGAACTCCTTAGGCAGCAACAAGAATTGTTTGCAAAAGCAAGAGAAGAACAAGCAGTTGCTGAACAACAACAGTGGCAACAATTACAAGCAGTTGCGCAAATGGCCTCGATGCAGCAGGCTGATAGCGAACAAGAAGATTATTCGTAAACGAACTTTACTTTTTTTGATTTGTTTCAATGTGTTTGGCAACGAATGAAAGATGTTTTCTTTTTTTTTTTTGTTGTTGTTGCAATAACGATGGGATAATTACGATAATGTATATCGTTTCAATTTTTCTTTGATTTATTCGATTTTACATTTACTATTACATGTAAAACCTCACTCAGAAAAACGTAGAAAATCATTACTTTCCAACTTCTGTGATTATGCATTACGAATCTAAATAAATGATGATGACTTTTTGTTAAAAAAAATGCGTTAATTGCATTAAACAATCTATTATTATAGTTTTCTTCTCATAATGTTTTTCGCACACTGCTTCACGCGAAACTCATCTGTTGCACATGTAGCGTAACTGAAGATTATGGCATTAACCTTCCATACTCTGAAGAAAGGTGACTCTTCTTAATCGCTTCCATTACTCTTGAAACATAGTGGTACCTATGCAATTTAATTATAAATGGATTGCTATAAAATACAATGAAAATGAATTGATTTTAACTCTACCAATTTTTTTCTGTTAGGGTAGTTGGCGTCATTGGATTTCTAGTAACACCATGTATTTTTGTTTTTAGCTTTTCTATCAGTTTTTTCCGGTTTTGGCGTATTGTAGGTTCTTCTGAAAAGTAAAAATTTAATTGACACAAGGCCTTAATTTGCAATTGTTAAAACACCGTACCTTCGTTTACAATGCGAGGTACAAAAAATAAATTTAATCCCGCCTCCATAGAATTATTACTCAAATCCAAACCACTGTGGGTTTGTAATCTAGAACTGGAGAATAATTTATTATAAAATTCCTGAAAGTACACAAATAATTAAATGTTATTAATATAATTGACGTATATAATTAACATTTTCAAGTTGTCAATAATTCATTATGCCTCTAACAATATGTATATATATTACTTTCACTTTCTCCACACTGTGAGGCGTAAAATCTTGCAATTCAGCTTTATTATGTAAAAACACAATATGAGGATAATATTCGACATAATCTTGGTCCATATTGCTAGTAGAGGATGGCTTTAACATTTCCGCAGTTTGTAAAAATCTACGAATTGTATTGTAATTTGAAAAATTTATATCGGAGTAGGAATATTGCTACGCTTACCTAACTAAGTTTGGATCAACGAACCAATCTTGCACAAATATAATAACGTGACAAACTGAAAAAAGGAATGCTGCGAATTGTAAGGATTGCAGCTCTAAATTAGTCTCTGTGTTTATGAAGTCCGTTGTAGATTTTTTTTGATCGTAACACGTGGAATAATCTATAGTAGATCCCGAGAGTATAGGTTGTGTATCCAGATATATTACTCGATTTTTTGTCACGAAAAAATCGATACCAATAGTGCAATTTGCACCACTTTCATGATGTGACGTATCTTGAGTTGGAAATATATCAGACCTATATCAATGAAATAGATTACATTTGACAGAAAAAAATAGAAAGCTTTGTAAGAAAATTACAAAGGACGAGTTAGTTGAAATGTTGAACTTTTGGAACCCCTTGAAACGCAAAAAAATTTCGAGTTTCGAGAATATAAAAATTAAAACTTGGAACCCATTTCTAGAAAATTGTACAATCGTGCAATTCAAGTTTTTCGGACAATACTAACGCAATGTTAGATGTTAGAAGAGACATTATGGTTGATTTTCCAACACCTTGAGCTCCTAAACATCCCACAACTAAGAAATCCTGCTGATCATACAGGAATTCAAGAGGGCTTTCACAAAGTTGCATATTTTCATCCATAAATTTTACACTACTTGTCATTTCAGGACATGTTGATAGTACAGTACGAGCCGCTAGAAAAAACATATCTGTTAAGTTTGTCATTGCATTGAAAACACAAATGTAGAATTAAAAAGAGAGAAAGACTCACGATCTTGTATCTTTGTTGGAACATTGGTAGACGAATCACCTTCTTTTCTGAAATTTGACGAAATATTTAATAACGAGTCAAAAATGTAACATGGCGTCTATTTTTAAGCAAGGAACTATTTTTACTTGTTACCACCATTGCGTTGATTTGGTGACACAGCTCTGTTCTCGCCTTCTCTCGTTTTTAGTATGAACGTTGGACGATCTATAACTTTAATCGTACCTCTTCCGTCACTGTCCTTGGTCTCTGAATCTTTCGACGTGATCGGCAACATTTTTTGTACATTCATTGCTTCCAAATAATAGTTTATTACTTTATCTGTTACAACAAATGCTTATTAATCATTAATGTTAAAAAGCATTTTGCCGACATTTTGCTACATTTTTGATACAGAATTTAAGTACACACATACCTCTCCATTAACTTGTTAAAATCTTTGCAAATTATATCTGTCCCTAATGTAAACAAAATTCGTATATATTGTACAAGTTTTAACATTAAGGTTAAGAATAAGCAGTAAATATATATATATATATATATATATATATATATTTATAAATACATGTAATTATGCATTTTACAAATGAAACTCACTATCACCTTGCTAATATTCAAATATCATACCAATATGATAGTTTTCCGTAAAATAATACGAGTTGAATAAATTTACTTAGGATAAACAACGCATTGCCGTTGTGCCGTTTTTGCAAATATGACAGTTCTCATTCATAACCATACATCTTGGTTTACTCGTCTCGTGTAAGTAAAAGGAATAGACCTATATCACAGTTGCGAATAAAAATGAAATAAGTATGAAATTTGAGATTCGGCAAAATGCTTTATACTTTTGAAGTCTTTAAGATCTGAATGTTTAAACTATATAAAAGATATATAAAATATTCTAAACAAAAGCTCTGTTTAATATAAAACCATTAAATTTTTATACGGCGAACACAAAACAAATATAATAAATATAATGAAGAAGATAAACGTAATGGCATAAATATAATAGAGTATCATATAAAAACTTGGTATTTTCATTTTAAAAATGAAAACCGACTTCCTCCGTCTGGTAAATATTACCATTGACTAAAAGTAGGACAGACCAGACATCTAATGCTTTTTCGTGTCCGACGTTTTTAGCGTTCAGCTGATCTCTTACTTTCAAAAACAGCAAAATAGAAATGAAATGTGTTAATACCTTGTTTTATAATTAAAAATTTTTAATTTTAATATACTAAAGGTGCTATATGGAAAAACCCATCGGTAAATGCGTAAGATACGAATAAAATCCTTTCTGATGCATATACGAACATATAACACGAAGTGGAATAGTTTCAAATGTTAGTTTCGTGTTTCGGAATCCGTGGTATATAATTTAACAACACTGTAACGAATTTCGTCTTACTTGATCAACTCGTATCATTTTACTTGATATTCACCAATCGTTTAATTATACGACGCGCTAAAAATTTAATAATCTTGTTCCTGGTCGGTATTTCAGACCTTGAGACGCAAAGTCCCATGTAGCATCCAATCTATATCATCTTTGATCAATGGTAATGCGATCTTGTAATCTGCGAGAAACGTCAAAAACGTTAGACTATGTAGGTTCGTGCAGTAGGAGATAGGTTGGATAGACACAATCAAACGTGTTTGAATGTTTACAAGCGTATTGGAAACACTCGCGTGGATGATGCGAACAAACGGAATAAGAAATTTTAGGACGTGATAGAAATTTTAATCGTCATCCTTCCAACTAAAAGTAAATGAAAGATATTTGTTTAGAACAGTCGTAGCAAATATTTTTTTACTATGGCTAACAGTCTAGCAAAAGTCTTTGCCACCGAAGATTTCAATCCCGAAAAGTGTAGGTAGACGTTTACGATTAAGCAAGAGTTTGATACTTTGGATTTTAGAGACAGGAAGAAACATGATACGTCTGTTTTTCTTACAGTCGTGAAAGAACTTGGCGCACAATGTGTTGGTGCAGACGAATTGAGACAACAGAGAGCAAAAATTCAAGAGTTGGCGAATAATACCTCTGCGCAATTAAAGCGTAACGTTTATCAGAATTATATGCAGTTTATAGAAACTGCTAAGGAAATTTCACACTTGGAAAGTGAAATGTATCAATTATCTCAACTGCTCAGCGAGCAACGTTCATTATTGAGTACCTTAGGATCTACCAGGACTACCGGCGTTACTTTTGGAGATTTGTCTGAATCCCAGTTAGAAGATGTCAACGATTCCACTGCCAAAGAGGAGGAACAAAAACAAAAGTTGGTGCAACTACTAGAAAACGTAGAAGGTGCTATGGTAAGTTGCAAAATATCACGTTCGTAGAGTAGCAAGTTAGCAACGACGATGGATTTTCTGATTTCATTTGACAGAGCTTGGCAGAAACTTCCGGCCGTATATGTTTACACGAAGGTTCATTGCTGGAATTAGATCCTTTGGAAGGGACGCCGTTGAAAAGAGTTCATGCGTATTTATTTAACGATATTTTAATGATTGCTTCTTGGTTAGCAAACGGTAATAGGAGAGGACCACCAAGATACAAGATGCAAGCTGTGTATAACCTCGAAAGTTTGGCCATTGTTAACGTCAGAGATCTAGGAACGGTAAAATTAGCGTTCAAACTTTTGGCGTTCTCCGATACAAGAGTATTTCAGTGTGCAACTGCAACGAGTAAAGTTGGTGTACAATATGAAAGAAGTATTTACAAAACTGGCGAGAACAAACTTTAATTTATTCGTTTTACAGAAAGAATGGTTAGACAAATGCGAACAAGCAAAGAGAATGAAGTTGATCGAAGATAATCCAAACGAAGCGGCAGATAATGGTAAACGGTCGAAGGAGGAGAAAGCAATACCTTCTAGGTCGATGTCGCTCGATTCTAATACCCTTGGTACGTTCAATTCGTTTGGTGAAATTTGTATAATTAAACCAACTTAAATTAGATTAAGATGAATTAAATTTTTCAGTTATTCTTTCGTAGGTGTAGACGATGAAGATACGGAATATCACGAACCACCACCAGAATGGATGCTAGAAGTGGCGGAGGATTTAGATTCTTGTATAGCGCAGCGTCACTTTGAGGAAGCCTATGGTCTTTTGGAAAAAGCAAAAGCCTATTTAAAAGATGCGCAATTGACACCGCTTCTGCTTGAAATCCAATCAAAAGTAAATGACAGAGGGAGATCGTTAGTCGACGTTTTAACAAAGGAACTTGAATCAAGCGCAGAAGCGAAATCGTTGCAAGGTGGAGGTTTGAGAAGCGCGCGACGCGTGGTAAAATTATTAATACAATTAAATAGAAGCGCTCAAGCCTGTCAGCTGTATTTGCGACTATGCGGTGCTGTATTAAAGGCACGTTTGAAACGAGTGAAGAGAGAAGGAGCTATCGCACCGTACGTGAAGCAACTTGGCGCAATTGCCTTTAGCAATATCGTCGAGATCACGAAAGAATTTTTAAAAATTTTTTCACAATCGACGAATTGTACATCCGGTAAGTTGAAAATATTACGAATCGACAGTATCGTACAAAATCAATCGTCGTTTCTTTTTATTTTTCTTATTTTATATATATTTTATATACGTAGGTCTGGTTGTTTGGTGTAGCCAAGAAATAAAACACTTAACAACACATTTAACTAAACAGCTTTTTATTCCACAAGTATCTTTAAACACGCTAGTAGAATGTATAGTTTGTTTTCGGAGTCATTGCGATCAGGTACGTTAATTCTTATAGTTGATAGTTTATTGCTACTTACTATCGTAATATGAAAAAAATATAAAACTTTGCGACGTTTAATTTACAGTTAACGCAGTTAGGAATGGATTTCCGTTATCAATTGGACGGTCAACTCAGATCCCCGTTAGCAAAAGCTATACAAGATACGGGCGAGAAATACGTTGAGATCGTAAAAAAGCACATAGCCGAAGACACGTGGCGGCCAACTAATTTAGAGACTTCCAAAAACGTTCAAAAACTACTGTCAGAATTCGAGGTCTTGGGAATAACTGTTCCATCGTTTTATTTAACAAACGATTGTTGGATAGCGTTAACTGATAACATTTTAACTTTTTCGAGACTTTACGTAAGTCTGTTGGAAGATTGTCTCAGCGTCGCTACACCAGAGTTAATGGCTATAATAGACACGGTTTTAGTATCGGTGATGCGAACTCAAGTACAATACATAATTGCGTCGCTTACGAATCCGAAATTAAAACTCGAGGTAATTGGTTTTCTTCTTTTCTTTTTAGTTATAGAACATCTTGTTTCTTTGTCATGACTTTTAACATTTGAATAAATATTTGTTTTTCTTTAATTTATACAATTATATTAATTTTAGAAACAATTGGTGTACGACAATGCTTCGTATATTCGAGATGTTGTAATCATGCGAGGACTAGAGTTATACAAGTCAACAACAAATCAAATCTTTAAGAAATTGTTGGTTCTAAAGGAACAAATCGTACTCGATTCATCGTCTCCGACCAAACCAAAATCTGCTTCTAAAACCGCGATACCAAAATATTCTGCCACGGAATATATTTAATAATAAAGTAAAATTGCAAGTGTACACATAGAGATATAGAAAACAATTTACAAAGAAAATAATAGAACGTTTCACACTGTACGTGTCTGTATTATATTGTACATATAAGTCAATTTGAATTTCTTTTAACAATTACATATATTGGGTTCTAATATTTTTCCCCGTTTCCATCGCAGGTATATAAAATAATAATACTCGTTATACAGAGAAAAAGTAAGAGTACGTGTGTTACAATCAGGAAAGTGCGAATAGTTTTGCATCGAAACATATGATTTCCTGTTACAATTAATATGAAATATTTACAGATCAAAAATTAAACGAACATTAAATATATTATACAGTTCTACTTGGACGTTTGTCTATACGTTCCGACTCCTCGATGGTTGTTTGCAACTTCCTTTTCTTAGCTCGTATGTCTGCCAATGTCTGCTCTATACTTCGTTGATCCTTCTTATTTTCACTAGGAACTGAAACGACCGTTCCAATTAATGAGAAAACACGCTTAACCGAGATGAAAAGGAATGGTCGTTTACTTACCACAGCCGTAACTACTATTGGCCTCTGTTTTTCTCGCCGCCGCCAACGCAGCTTCTTTTCCAATTAAATGTTGATACTTATCCTTGTAATAACTATTTGGTACAAAAGTGTCTTTTCGTTTTCTAGGTTTAGCAGCAGCTTCTTGCTCTTCTTCGGCTCGTTTTTCTCTCTCCTCTATTAATTTTCTTGCTACTTCTTCGTTCCATTCTTCTCCTCTACGCAATACGTTCAACTGATCTTCAGACGGAGCATACTCCCTCTTAAAAATGACAATGTGACGGTTAATGTCTTCTTCTCCAAACGAATATGCCCATATGTTTGCTACTTCGGCAACATCGTGTCTATAAAGAAATAAAAGACATCGAAGTATTATCTCGTTAATAATTATATACGCATATATATTTTAACAATTGTCTTTCTATTATACATTATACTCCTATGAATTTGATCCATCGGAGGAAATTTGTATTCCTTTGCATCGTCATCTTGAAGAAATTTGTTAATTTTCCCTTCTACCTGAATCAACAAAAAAAGAGAGAAAACACTGCAACACACGAGCAATAACCTTATTTAAGAAAAAGTCAGGATAAAAAAGATGGAAAATTCAAACCTTCTCTCGAAAAAGTTTTAACCTTTCGGCTTCTGCTTTTTGATGCTTCTGATACTCCTCTTTTTGCTCTACGTGGTAAAAATCATTTTATTAATATCAAGTAAATCACATAAACATTTATGACGGTTATGAGGTTTAGGTTAATTTTTAACTAACTTTTCATCAATGCCTTTTGTTTGTCACTGATCGTAGGAGGCTTGTCCATTGAATTCAAGATAGATCCTAGCAAATCCATGATCTTATCTACGATAAAAATCGACAAATTTGAACGTACGAGACAAAAAAATTTTTTCAAGATTTGTATTCTCTGCTATCGCGTTCGATATCGTCAAAAATTATATAGCGACACACCACACATGCAACGATATATCAACCATCGATTAAAGACAGAGTAGACATACTATGTATATCATGCGCGTTTCTGTAAAGTGACTTTATGATTACGAATATTTTGATACATAAATTTTGTATGAAAATTTGTTTACGAGCGGAAAAAACACGCGTGAGAATGGGACGCGCAAGTTACATTTGCACGTAGCCGCGCGTTCAAATCGTTCCATCTCTTCGTTAAATTAAGTAAAAATTACAGTAAAGAAAACGATGAAATTGGTAGTGCGAAAATGCGAACAATAGTTTAAAAAATAATTACGAACACACAACAACGCATAATATACAATGATTTTCTTACGACAATAAACATTGAATCTTCTATCTTTTAATTCAAACACAAAACGTGCTATAAACACAACAATAATTAAACAATCATAAAATTAGCTGTTTTTATGAAAAATACGTGAATATAGTATGTGCGACACGCGGTGACGCACAATACAAACTAACCTCCACACGACAAATTATTAAATTTATGATCTCCTATATTTCTCGCTTATATTTTTCCATCTTTTCCGCTATGTACCATTACATGGTACACACTACGATTGAAAAATACATTAAACGCAGGATAATAAAATAATCAGCGTATCTTTCGTTGAATTTAGTTATTTTCAGTCGAGATATCGTTCAAAACATTGTCCGTTTTCTCGTACGCAAAGTTGTAATTTTTTAATTAGGTTTTGCGTCACGTTCCCTTCCTGCGTGTCACAGTTTTTTATTTCTTTGAACGTTACAAAATTCGCTGTTTCAAATGTTGCAGATTCGTAATATTTACGGAATAAACTATTCTTTTTACATTTTCACAGAGACAAAAGACCAAAGGTGTTGGGTCTGGTGATCTCGTAGGCAAAGCCACCGTTTCTCCACGTCTGATTCAACAATAACATCCGAACCCAATTTGCACCAAATAACAATTTATATTTTGGTTATTTTTGTATTTAATTTGAATTAATAATATGGAAAATTACAAGTTTAATAAATTTTTATTTTTCTTACTATTTGCATCAAATCATTTAACGCGCATGTATATAACTCAACTTGTCACCTCCACACATAGTTAATAAATGGGAAATAATTATGAACAATCAATATTGGAAACTTACTAGGAAAAAATGTAACTGTGAATAGTGTCTCCCTCGTACGGGAATTATATCGTCCCGTGAAATTATTTTCTGGCGGGATATTTGAAATTATTAACAATTTATATGAAATTATTATTTA